ATTGTAGTTACATTTATCATCTGGTACACATCTACCTGCCACCTTCCACACTGTGCATGAAACCATCTAATGTGACGTCACCATTCTGGACATGTTCGCTCTGCCGGTACTCTCAGTACTCCCAGTACTCCCAGTACTCTCAGTACTCGCAGTACTCCCAGTACTCCCAGTCTTCCATTCATGACCCAGGTCACTCACAGCTTCCCACCATGGGCCACACGGGCATGTTTGTGTCTGCTAGTCAAAGCTGGATAACAGTATTACAGACATGTATAGATATAAAGGTATTTATGTGAAGTGTGACAGCGTGGCCCTCCTGTGGTTACACTCCACAGTCTCCTTTATTAAACTGTAATGCTCTTCCTCATGTCTTCATACAGATTTGGACCTGTGGGATGCGTTGGATACACCAGGTGAGTGATCGTCACATCGGGAACTTTTCCTAGCATTGTTTTTTAAAGGTTTCATTCACTCATCTCTTTCTGTTTCTTTAGACCCGACACCCCAGAAACCCAAAGAGAAGCCAAAGACACCAGAGCAGCCCAAGAAGGATGGTGTGTAGCTCGCCATCAGTGGCCTTTTGTTTACAGTGATGATTATTACACATATGATGATCTGTGTTAGTCTGTCCCATTGTCTTGAACACATGTCAGTGCTCAGTAATGACATAAATGACATATGTATATATGTATATATATGACATTACAGGTGTATTCACTGTAACATATCGTCTGTGTAAATCAAACTCGATGAATCAAACTTGATGTTTTTCATGCTCTTCTTGTGGTTTTGGCAGAAACTGCTTCATAATAAGAATGTAAGACAGTGTAAATATAGATTTAAACTCATGTCCTAGTTGATGCTGCACAGCTTCCTGTTTTGAAGCCACACACGTGGACGAGCTAACAGACTAACTCCATGTGTTTCTCCTTCAGGTGACCTAGACCTCTTGGATGCATTCGGACCAGGTAGACACGCTGACGTCTGATTTTACTGATTTTCTTCTGCTGAGTGTCAGAATTTGTTCTGCGTAATATATTTGTCCTTTTTTAATCTCATGTCTGATTTTTACTTCTACAAATGCAAAACAGTTAAGAATCATAAAACAGCTCATCGTTAGCCATGCTTGGACTGTCCACCAAATGTTTTTGTTTAAATAAATCTTTTCCACAGGCGATTCACAGCCAGAGAAACCCAAGAAACCAAGTCCTGGAGGCTCTGGTAGGTCTGCGTGCTGACTTCATACATCCTGTGCTTTTGTATCATTTGTGGTGCAAGGACACTGATGCTAAGATGGATTTTACACGTTTGTTTTGTGTGTGAGTGTATTTGAAGGTAAATGAATCGTAACTTACAGTGTTTAAAGTATTTTCTTTTTTATGTCACAGATTCCAATGGATTCGATCTGGGAGACGCTGTCAATCCAGGTAAGACATGGATCATTCCCATCAGTCGCTCCAGTTTTGTTAGTGCTAGTAATGGTGAGTCCTGGGAAGCGTGAGAGAGTGTGCAGCGAGTTCATCGGTGCTCGAGCTGACTGACCCCGCCTGCTCTGAGCTGTCAGCTGTAGACTCAGTCTGTAGGTCATTAATGTTGAGTCTGGCTGATTGACTCCTGTGTGTGTGGCTCAATGCTAACGTGGTGCTATCAGAGCATGGTAGACGTGTAGCTACTGTGCTAACAGGTGG